GGGGGGAGTGGCTGACACACCAGAAGGCTGTGCTGCCATTCAGAGGGACCTGGACAGGCTGGAGAAATGGGCAGAGGGGAACCTCATGGAGTTCAACAAAGGCAAGTGCAGGGTCCTGCACCTGGGGAAGAGTAACCCCAGGCACCAGTACAGGCTGGGGGCTGACCAGCTGGAAAGCAGCTCTGCAGAGAAGGACCTGGGAGTCCTGGTGGACAAGTTGACCACGAGTCAGCAATGTGCCCTTGTGGCCAAGAAGGACAATGGCATGCTGGTTTGCATTAGGAAGGGCACTGCCAGCAGGTCAAGGGAGGTGATCCTTCCCCTCTACTCAGTCCTGGTAAGGCCGTATCTGGAGTACTGTGTCCAGTTCTGTGTGCCTCAGTACAAGAAAGAAATGGACTCACTGGAGCGAGTTCAGCAAAGGGTTACTAAGATGATTAAGGCACTGGAGCATCTCTCATATGAGGAGAGGCTGAGAGAGCTGGGCCTGTTCAGCCTGGAGAAGAGAAGGCTCGGGGGGGATTTTATTCATGTGTATAAATACCTGATTGGGGAGGTGTAAAGAAGATGGAGCCAGACTCTTCTCAGTGGTGCCCAGTGACAGGAAGAGAGGCAATGGGCACAAACTGAAATACAGGAAGTTCAATCTGAACATAAGCAAATCCTTTTTTCTGTGAGGGTTTTTGAACATTGGAACAGGAAAGGTTGTGGAGTCTCCATCCTTGGAGAAATTCAAAACCCAACTGGATATGGTCCAGGGCAGCCTGATCTAGTTGACCCTGCTCGAGCAGCAGGGTTGGACTTAGACGATCTCCAGAGGTCCCTTCTAACCCCAACTATTCTGATTCTGGAATTAATAAACAGAAAAGTAACACTTCCAAATGCAAGAACCTGAAGTTACATGTTGATTTAATGAGTTATGTAAACAGAGAATGCCACTCCCCTGCTTTTTAATCTTCTTAATTTCAGGTATTTGGGTTTTTAAAAGTTTAGTCTTAATTCATAACCTTTACTATCTTCTTTTAATCAGACAGAAGTTTTTCAGATGTAACACCTTACGGTACTAAATCCCCCACACTCTGTAAAAAACATGAGTCGGACACAAACATCAGCAGCATTTTGCCAGGAACATTTTACAATTCTGAGTTAAGTGCTGTCTTGAGCAGTGATGAATCCAGCAGCAGGAGTTCTGTTATATCATCTGTCATAATGAAGGTTAGCTTTCATGGCAATAGCCAACAAAAATATCAAACTCCTTCCCCCTAAAAAACAAAATAACTGGAGACCCTAAGGCCCAGGCCTGCCTAAGTAAGTTTTTATTTCACCTAAGAAGCAGAAAAGGAGCAATTGTCAAAGTGCATAGTGGTAATACATACCCTGCAGTCCATTCCTGTAAAGAAGTGATCTTAAATTCACTCATGGCTTCAGAAACCCCTATGTACATGCTAGGGTCTTACCAAGTCAAAAATGCAATTACATGGACCTCAACTCCAAAATAAACTTGCTACAACCAAGTATGTGCATGCCTACTCATTTATTTGGGTGCACAATGTAGAAGTTTAATGTGTGAAAGTGAGTCAAGTAGATTTCTTCAGGATTATATGGTGGTAAGGCACATTGCCTTGGTATATGCTGTATTTTGTTAACAAAATTCTAAGAAATACATTTAACGTGTCAGACTCATCTCTCCTCCACCTCCCAAAGCCTAGTCTTTTCTGCACCAATACATCTTTGTCCCAATCATGTTATTTACCTCCCTCCTTTAAATTTTTTTTCTATTAATGTTCTCCCTCATAGGCTGCTTATCCTGGACCCAAACTCCCTACTCAGCCAGGCCCAAGCTCACGAGCCTCCTAACTCCTACCATCAGTTTTCTATCCTAATCTTTCCTTTCAACTTCCAGTCGCATTTCCCTCCCAGATCCAGTCTCAAAGTCCTTATTTTCTTTCCTTCTTCAGCCTAGCTTTTATTCCCTCTGAATTCAAATCAAACAACATCTCTACCATGCAGTCCAAGTGTCAGGAAAGAAGACATGGGGGCCACTGAGCATAGAAGAGAGCCTTACTTACTCTCTGTTTCAGTGGCAGATCTGGCTACCCAGAGTAGATAAGGGGCAGCAACTACAGGGGAAAATCTCAGTCCATCCCTGTAGCTTTGGGAAAAACCACTCTATAAATAGTGCACACAGTCTGGTCAACACTACGAGCTGTCAGGCTTGAGCAAGTTCAGCAAGTATGTCCTCTTTAAAAAAAATAAAAGTACTAAAACCACACACACCAACCACTGTTATTAGGCTTATTACTTGTCTAAATTTGAGCAAGCTGCTACAGAGATAATCAAAAGATGCATCTGTGACAGGAAGGCTACTTCTTTGCTAAACAAGCCTGCTCCAAAATGCTACAGTGCTAATGATTTTCAAAAACAAGGCTAACAGAATTTATTCACGTATTCAAACATGGACAAAATAGCAATTTCTGGAAAAGTATGAATGGCTCTAGCTGGAGCTTCCCTCTAAAAGGTCATTACACAGACTGAATCAGGCACCTAGCATGGAAAATATGTGAAGAAATAACAACAGGAAGCATCAGGCAACCTTAATAGTGCTACCAGCCCTGCTGTGC